CTTCAGGACATTCTGCCCTGGTATTGGCTTCCCTGTGTTGCTAGAAATGACCCACTAATTCTCGTCAGTGTTAGCCTGCAGTGCTCTTGCCATGTTAAAACCAGCCACTATGGGAAGGAATCGTGGCTCTCAAAGTTAACATGTTCTAAGCTTGTCCCTTCGGCTGGCTCCCGCCATCAGTGGCCACCCCACAAGGCCATTCAGCAGAACCCAGGCAAGTGCCCAGAAAGACAGGTCAGATCCCGCTCTAAACCCAACCTCTGCTCAGCAAGCCCCTACAGACCCCCTGGGCGGGGTGCAGATCCCGCCAGCACAGGAGGCTGCTCCATGCCTGGCGAGGCACTAAGTTGACTGTTTCTGAATAGCTGTTCTGGATTTATCTGTTCTGGATAATTCTTCACCTGGATATCCCAATCCAGAAAGGATGATGGTGCCCTTAGAGATAACTTAAATGCAAAGAAACCAAATGAACTTCCTCTCTTAGTTTAATTGTTCTAAACAGGTGGTTTCCTTAGATCTCTGAAAGCAAACGTTTTGGATGGTATCTGGAACAGGAAGATAAGATTTGGGTTCCTGAATTAGGTTTGCATTTCCTGGTTACCTCAGTCGTCGCTGTAGACAAAAACATAGGCACATACTCAACTTCTCACATGAGGAGAGTTAAACATATGCTTGCAGTGAGTCAGAGTCCACCATACATAACAGTACTGGAGTAGTAATAGCATATCTATGGGGGAAGTGTGTATAATACCTCTGCTCAGATCCAGGATGACTGTTCTTATGTTGTAGAGTTTGAATAGTTTTTCCATATGGCACATATGCTTTATACCCCAAAATACTGCTGAAACATTTAATTTTGAATGTAGAAAAGGTGCGAATTAACAGAGCAGATGCAGTAGGGACATGGAGAAAGTGAGAGCCTGAATGGAGACAAGGAGGGAGAGAACAGTGACAGAAAGACAACACTGTTTTATATTGTAATTTCTCCAACATTGCTAAGGACAGGGGGAGACCCCCCCGTCCTTCCTAAAAAGGGTTTTTGTTTAATCCCACAGCAATCAATCAACGAAGCCATACGGACATCAACCCTTCCCAGGCCGGCTGCAGCAGGAGGCAGCGGAGAAAACGGACGTGTGGTCAGCCACGATTTCCCCAAATCCATGCAGACGATCCCGTGCATGAGCCACAGCACCGGCATGTCCCTGGGAGCTACGGGATTATAATTGGCCTTTTGACCCATTGCCTGGGTGAGAGCAGGGGCAGCCCAACTCCACCCCCTCCAGAGCCAAAAACAAACCCAACACCAACAAGACAAACAACGATGACAGAAGGGACAATTGGATGGATCTTCTCGAGGAAATCAAACCTATTTCCCTTTTTATTTGCAAACAGATCCACTGGCAGGAGAACAGAAACAGGTCTGTACTGCAATAAGGAGAGTGTAACGGGATTTAACAGACTCGTGAACCGTCCCTGATCAAAGAACCACTGGAACACTAATGAGGACTATGCCATTCTGTTTTAACTTGGTTGTTAATAAGTCTTAGTGTGTGCAATATATATATTTTTTCTTACTAATTCCTGTGGTGTCAGGGTAACATCAGCCCTTTCCCCCTTCCCTGCTCAGTCCTTCAATCTGGTTTAGTTTGGTATGCAAACCATAATGTCTGAGCTACTAACAGCAAAAAAGAAAATCCAATAAATGGCAAGCTGAACTCCCTGCAGGGTGTCAGCATTGACCCCTTTTGCCCATCGTGATTCTGCCTTCCGTTGTTCTGTTGTGAACTCGGGCTGTGGAGTTATTGCAATGAGGCAGACAAAGGTGCGAACGGCTCTCCCTGCAACAGGAAGGACATGATGTGAGAAAGAACCTGAACAAAAACATCAGGCTGTTTTACAGGGGCAAAGTCATGAGTGAGTTTAGAAACCCCAGGTAACCTGAGGACAAAGTGATAATTCTTCCAGAGATGATAAGTGGTGGTTCAAGAGAAGAATCATGTGCCCGGAGTGGAGAGCATCATGTGTGGCAGACTAGAGCAGATGGTTGGTCTAAGATCATGGTCGGCTGCTGTTTATGGAAGAGAGAAAGTAAATGCTGCATTCCCCTCACATGCAACTCTCCTGCCTAGGTTATTGGGGGCTAATAAGCAATTGTGAACCATTTCTTCATTGCTTAGCTTCTGTGTGTGCTCCCTTTTTGGTGGTCACATAAGGGAACCACCTTGAGCCAGGAATAGATGATCTCAAGACATCCAGTTCTAAATGGCTGCCTATTAACCAGTAAAACATGCTAGAAGTCATGGGGCTGCAATGGGACTATCCCTGCCTTTTTGCTCTGAAATCCCTTTACGGCCATTTTTCTAATTAAGAGGGACATTTTGTAGATAGTTGGCCAGAATGGCTTCCTGGAAGGAATTGCTGAAGCAAACCAAGGAGGAGACCCTACAAGAGCTTCTATTCAAGCGTCCATGACATTCGACAGCATCAGGACTGGTCAACCTCAGCGTTCCCGTCAAGTTGTGGCCTGTCTGGGTACAAAGCCAAAAGTAGCAGATTCCTCATGTATCCTTAGGGAGGGGGAAGGATCCACAAGCCAGGCGAGCCGGTTGCTGACCCCAAACTGGGTATTGCAGAAACCCGCGCTGCCAGACAGGCAGCTGGGAATCCAACCACAGGCGCGGAGATCAAAGGGGCAAGGATGGTTTTCCAGAACCGCACAAAAGGTTCGTTCTGTGAATCACTGGCATGGACAGACAAATGCTTCCCACCCTGGTGGGCCTGAGACACCTCCCCAGAAGTGAAGGATTCCCAGGGGAGCATCTGGAGAGAGACAAGATCTGTGGGGCAGGGACCACAGTGAACCCACTTAGCCTTGTCCCATCTCACAGGTCCATCACTGATGGCAAATAAAGTTCAAAGCTTCTCACAGGACCCAGCAAATATCTCTCTGGGGACTGAGCTGCTATTGGAGTGTTCTGAGCTGCTTTTTCTCATTTTATTTCTTTTTTTCTTTTTTTTTTTCTGCAACGTAGCAAGAGAGGAGCAGGAAAAGAAGGGAGGCAGGTGAAGAGAAAGCAATGCAGGCAAATGACTGGCACAGGTCTATGAGGAGGATCTGTCTATGCAGCTGTCCATAAGTACAGCTGGAAGCTGCCTGAATACCAGTTTCCATTAGTGTATGAATGTGCAGAGCAATACGTTTACCACCTTTAACACCAGCCTGGTCTGAAGTATCTGTTCCATTTACCCACTTGTCATGCAACACTTTGGAGACCAGCAAGTCAGAGTCAAGGTCCTAAGCTCGGGCACAGCATGTCTTGTGCCAATATGTTTTCCTCTCTCCACCACTGGAAACCCTTGTGATTTTCATCTCTCATCGCCAAACATGAACTCTGTTATCAGCCACTCCAAACACCTCTTCAGGTCACTTTGTGTTGGTTATCATTTTTAATCCACTTTTCTTAATTTTAACTTCAGTTCTGTGTAAGTGCTAGCACAGTGGACGCATCCCACAAGCTAGCCTGTTTCCATGCCCTTGGATGCATCTCCTGACCCAGCTCTTACCACATCCCGGACCTTGCCACGGCAGTGCACCACCAGGCGCTGTCATGAGAGCAGGCTGCTGAGACCCATCGGTGCCCCATCCTCCTCCAAAGACAGGACCACGTGGCAGCAGGTCGCGGGAAGCCCAACCGGGCAGTTAGATGGTCTCCTGAGAAACAGCGCATCTGTGCTCGGACTGGCCACCTGTGACGTGAAGATGTGAGATGCAGTTTTCAAAGGCTTTTGATCAGTGGAGGAGTTGTTAAAAAAAAAAGAAAGATTAATAGGACAAAAGCGTGGAAAATGTTAACTTGTAATATGTATTTTTACTACACTTTTCTTAAAAATAGAGTAATGGTAAAACTCTTAAAGACATTGACATTTTTTCTCAACAGGAATCCATATTTAACAGTTTTGGCTTTCATTAAATTTTGCTCTTTGGTACCTGGATCTTTTATTTAACAGCTATATTTGTTTTAACTCTCTCTTGTTTTTTTCTTTCTTTTTTGTTTCTTTTGGCACTACTGCAAAGGATTTTGCTTTATCGAACGCAACAGTGTTTTTCGTTTCACATTCTCTTTTTTTCAAACAACATTTTTATTGGTAATTATTATTTACACAAAAATGAAACTATCAGCTGGAATTTTAGCACCAAGGATCCATGATCCATTTTTCATACCTGTCCATGCCATTTTGTGCCAGTGCTGGATGTGTGGAAATGAAAATGATGTTACCCCTCAGGCAATATTGCCCAACCTGAATCAAATGAGATTTCCTTGATTATTGCTGTGTCTGACTTGTGAACAGCAGCCAAATAAACTGCTTCAGGTTGAAATTGGGAATCTATCTAATATTTACCCAAGAGTCAGGAAACTAAACATTCATTGGGTTCAAAGTTAATGATTTTGCTTCATTTGGAGTTTTGTGGGGTTATTTTTTGAGGAGGGCTATTAAATGATTTTAGCTTGTTTTTACAGAAAGAGAAGACATGGTCAGCTCAGAGATAATTCAGAACCAGCACTGGTCCAAAAATCCTCACCAGGATCAGCTTGCCTAGGAGCTCCCATGCTGTTTCAGAGGCTTGGACATTTAAGATGTTTCTCACTCAGTTTTCACACAATTAACCTGCTAAATTCCTTATCCAAAAGTCTGCTGAAAGAGGAAAGAGAGTAGGATTTAAAGGGCCTTGGACATTTATGCAGATCCCGACAGCTGCTGGGGTTAACTATAATGACTAATGTCGTGCTCTTGAGTAGCACTTGTTGTCACAGATCTGGAAGGATTTCCCTTCCCCGTATCATCATTCCAATTTATCGGCTGGGGAAGCTGAGACTCAAAAGTGCCTTGGACCAGGCATCCCAGCTCACCCCACAGGGCCATGGTTATAGATTCAAGGTCTCCAACATTCACAAGGGGGTTTTTTACCTGCTGGTAAGTTTTAAAGATAGAGTCAGCAAGGGGCAGAATTAATACATTTTGAAAGGGGCTGTGAACCCTCAGGCTTCGAAGCACAAAGAGACTCCCAATCAGTAAGACCTGAAGGAGAGGTTATCCATGGGCAGGCTATGCTGGATCAGCCCATTTTGGTCTTCCACAATTGCTTAGGCATCCAGTACTGTACTATGGGCTTGGATCCTGTCTCAAAACGCTCTTCTTGCTCAGTGGTTCACTCCTGGTTCCCAGTGAGGATGCAGATATGCACAAGAAATGTTCCTTTATATCTTGGCATAAATAGGACAAAATTCCCTCCTAGTGGCAAAAACAAATATTCCTTGTAAGAAAGTCTCCAGCAAGAATCCAAAACCATTTCAGCAGTTGTTGAAGCAAAAAACCACTGAACCTTGAAATGCAGCAGGTGAGGAACAGATGCATCACCCAGTCCATCCCTTTGCTATGGGATGATAACCTTGGCATCAGGACACAAAGCTGGGATGCTCCAAAAAGATTTGGCTGGACTTGTGTGTCCATGTGCCTACCTGCCATCAAATGCAAGGAGAACTTACTCATCTAAGCTCTGTGAAGGGACGGGGGAGGAGCACATCAACGTTTGCTGTAACCCAGTGGGTACCACTAACCTGTTCAGGTCCAGCAACGCAACCACATATCTCCATCAAAAGTTTTGGGAGACATGGGGAAGTTTTCACTGTGAACACAGGCTTGTGCTCAGTTTTCAGTGACATGGTCAGTCACCCAAGTCTCACACATGGCTCTGGGTCCCCAGGAGAACATTTTTGTGCACGTTTCTAACTAACATGTTGGTCCACCATGGAGGCACATGTCAGAGCTTAGATGACCCATCACAGTGGTGTGTGGTAGCCTTAGGACACTGCTGGTACTCTTCACTGCCATGGCATGAGAAATAACAGCACAGATTGGAGCTTGGCTAGTGGAGATTGCTCTGAAACACCACCTTCGAGACTGGAGGAGATGGGTTCAGGCCCTTCCCACCAGCAAAGGTACCAGATTAACCCCAAATACCTTTTAGAGACCTGTGTGGCCTGTTCTCTGATAGCTTTTGTAGCTGCTGACCTCTCTTAAACACAGATTCCCCAGTTGCCTTCGTGTTACCTCTGGGCACAAATCAATTTGTCAGCCACCAGTGTTGGTTTTGTGTCTTGGCAGCCCACTGCTGGCTGAAGCCCCCATGCTTGCCTCTCTGCTACCCAGTTAATTAATTAATTAACAGAAATACAGGGATGTCACTGTGCCATGCACAGCTGCCCACCAGCCTGCAGAAGGGCAGGGCTTTTGGGGCAAAATCCACGTGCAAACCCTAACTCAAAAGATGCCAGACAGTGCAGACAAAACTGCTTGGGCTCCATGTTGCTCCAGCTCCATTACGAAGATGACACCCCTTCCAGCTTCCTTCTTACACAGAGCTGCTCTGTTCTTTTCCAGGCACTTGGTCCTGATGGTTTGAGTGTATAGGAGGGATAAATT